AGGTTGGACACAGGGGCTTGGAGCAACCTGCTCTAGTGGGAGGTGTCCCTGCCCGTGGCAGGGGTTGGAGCTGGATGAGCTTTAAGGTCCCTTCTAACCCAAACCATTCTATGAAATTATTAGAAAGACAAATACTGTCCTCAGGACAAGTCCTTGTAGGAACAGACTGAGATGGGAAACAAATGCTGTCTGGGTACCTCTAACTGTAAAACTGCACAACCTCCTTCTCCAGGCAGTCACCGAACCACAACAGAAGGTGATACTTTTTAAAGGCTTGATCAGGTTTTGGTTTGGGTTCGTTTTAAAAGTCACGTAAAGACACAAGGTCAGGTTGCAGCAGATAACCCAGGTCAGTGGAAATTAATGGCAGGATAACCCAAAGTAAGTCTGTAGTTGGGGCTCCAATTTTAAAGGACAAGAAAATAAAGAAATGGAGAAATACCCAGAGCTGCCTCAGCAGTGATGATGACAAGAAAAGAAACTACCTTCAGTTCAAAAGATGCCATAAACATCATGAATGTGTATCATCAGTGAGGAAATAACCTGGGAGAAAAGGACCCCAAATCTAAGTAGATAAATGTCCACTTTGAGCAGGATGCTGAGAACAAGCAGATCCTTTCCTGGGGATGAAAAGGAGCTGCTCAGAGGAGCTGTACACCCCACAGGATGGTGAGCACAGGGATAAAGGGAACATTTTAACTCATCCTGTCTTTTGACACAGTGCAGAGGAAAAGGCAGGATCATGTTTTCAGCTACAGAAGTAATAAGTGTGTGGGAACAAGTGAGAGGAAACTGTGCAGAAAGGCAAAGGCTGAGAAAAACAGGTCCTTGCTTGGAAGACATGGGCCAGCTTTGAGGTGCATTTCAGCTCACCCACCTTGGGAGGCTGGTGGGGAGGAAGAGAAGCAGCTCTGCCCGTGCCTGGGTTTGTGGTGCTGGCCATCCCAAGGCCTCAGGATGGACACCTTCACAGTCAGGGAGTATCTGCTCACCTCACCTCACCAAGGCAAAGTCCAGGCTCCTTTAGGATGCTGTGGCTTGCACTGGCTGCTCTGGTACCTGCTCCCTGACTGCAGAGTGTGTCTACACAACCAGCTCAAGTGTCAATGTCCCAGTGACATCCACCAGCAAATCCCACCCCCCTTCACTTTCAGTCACAGCCACACTGAACTCAGGGACAATGATAAAGGAAACAGGACAGGAACAAAAAGATACCCCCTTGACTAAGAAGTGGAAGTCAAATAACAGAACACTTTCAAAGTGGGGATGTGAAGGTGCAGAGGAAGCCAAAATATAACTTAAGAAAGAAGGTGCACCTGAAACCCTGGGTCTGCTGCAGCAGATTGTAACAGAACTCAGTGAGGTGCTGCTGGAGTGATGGGAACCATGGTGTGAGCATTGGAAAAAGAAGGTGAAAAAATGATTTTGGTGACAAAATGTTCCCATCTGACCTCAGCAGTGCTGCAGCCAGGCTTGGAGAGGTGCTGACGGGTAGGGAAAACACTGCAATTACCTGTGGCACACACATCAGAGGAGACTTAACCCAACAGCTTCCTTATCATGGGAAAACAAGGGATCTATCACACAAAGGAAGAACGATCAATCTCATTCACCTGGAACTCAACAAAGCATTTGATATGGAGAAGCACCAGCTGAGACAGAGAACATGGGCATTACCAGAAGCCTTGTTCATGCACAAACACTTGATCTGAGGGGAGGAACAGCCAGCAGAGCACGGAGCAAGAACCCGAGGCTGGAGAGCAGTTGCTAATGAAGCTTCCTGAAGATCATTCTGGAGCTCAGTGTCTTTTCATATTTTCATCAATAACTTTGGCACAAATCTTATTAGAGATTCACTGATGGAACCTGCTGATGTCTCCCCACAGCAGGCCAGATGAAACAGCATTTAAAATGATGCAGAGAAAATCTATCTAGAGTGGAGCTTCAGAAGGGAGGTGAATCCAGAGCAAAACACAGACGTGCACCTGAAGCATTGTCCCATGAGCTGGGAACCTGCAGCTGACACTAATGGATGGTATGGACCAGGATGGGTTGATCATCACCTGCTACAAGGACACAGTGACGAAAAGTGGCTTCCAGGGACATTTCTTGTGAACATGGAGGTGCCAGGGCTGTGGCACCATGTCCACAGCAGCTCCTCCCCAGAGCACTGGGTGCCACTCTGGGCGCTGCACAAAGTTTAACTCAAACCAACGCTAGATGAGGGGAGCAGAGCCCTTCTTCCCAGGGCAGCCAAAAGGTGAGCTCCCCGGAAGGATACAACTGCTTTCTAACTACTACTACAACAAGAACAACTAAGTCAAGCTAGAAGACAAGGAGACACAGATACCAAGTTGCCCAGAGTCAACCTGGGCTGCAGCAAAACCCCAGGGGGCAGCCTCCAGGGGAAAAGCAAAACCCCCAACTCCAGAGTTCATTAAAGCATCTGCACGTTGTGGTGTCTGTAGTAACAGGACCCAAGGCTCAGAGGTCCAGAAGGTCTCTCCAGGTTTTCTGATAGCTCCAGATCGGATCTACCTGTTCACATCATCTCACAGCCCATTCCTCTTCCCATTCACAGTAATCAACTTCCCGTGTCCTTGCACACCTCCTGTTCCCTGATGTACAACTTGATCTACTCCCCTTACTTGCATGGTTATGCCTTACTTAGCAGGACAGAACCCCAGGATGCAGCTGACCCAAGGGCTGCTGCAGACCTTCCCCAAGCACACACATGAGTTCTCCACAGACCCACAGTGGTGCTCCTGTAAAGCCAGTTTGTTCTGGGAATTGAGCCCAGCTCCCAGTCCTAACCAGTGACTGCTGGAAGAACCAGCCCCACTCAGGCACATGAGCACCTCCACTGTAGAGGGAACAAGGCAGGACACACAGAGCTGAGGGTGAGACCACATTAGGTGAGAGCAATCAACACTTGGTGTGATTTAAGCTGATGTACAACCACATCCCCATTCTTCCATCACCAGCCCTAACCCCTCATCAGAAGCCACAGGAATGTATAAATAACAACGTTTATCACCTCCTTTCAGGTGCTTGAGAAAGGTGCTAGATGATCAGATGCCCAGCAATCCCTGAGACATCAGCATGAGCTACAGCACTAGGTGTTACCACTTCTCTGGGCTATGCTGAATCTTCCTTTAATCCCTGCAAACACTCTTAAGGAAAAGTTCAGGAAGGGATGGTCTGAGCATCGTGTCATATCTGGTGCTCTGCCTGAGCTGCCCTGAATTCTGACTTTGCTCTTCAAACCTTCCCACCCTGTTGGGCTGCCCAGTCCTCAGCACAGACACCACTGACATCTCATGGGGGCTCAAAGCCATGTGTGTGAGCTACAGGACCTTCCCCATCCAAGCCTGCTACCATGCCCAGACTCAGTCCTATTCCTCCCACTCTGTTTCTGCTCTATCTCAAGACCACAGGATAATCCCCCACTGAAACACACTGATTTCTTCTAATTGAGGGTTCCCTGGTAACCTCTAGTCCCAGTAACTAGACACGCTGCTCCTGTACTTGCCACAGCAGCCAACCCACTTCCTATAGCTCCTCTTTTCTTACAGCACAGCACAGCTCCCTGCTCCTGGCACTGCTGTTCCAGCCTGCAGGCAGCTCAGCAGCCATGGAGGAAGCAGAGGACAGTCCCTCCCAGGTCCTCAGCTCTTTAGACTCTTGCCAATCCCCTCCCCTGAGTCTGGGTGCTTTGTGAGCTGCAATGAAGCACTAGGCTGTGGCCCCTAAGCTTCACCCTTAGCAGCTTCTCCTTAAACATTCTCCCTCAGTGTGTATCCTTTTATGCTCTTCTCACCAGAAGAGCCTTAATTATCCAAAGGATTAACTTTGGAAAGCCCTCAAACTGCACAACATCTATTTGCTGACCTGGGGGCAGAAAGGTAGCGGAGGAAGCACGGAGAGAAGATGAGCACAAGACACTTGTCAGCTACTGAAGAGGGTGCAGACAGCTTTTATCCTCTCCATGACCAGCATTCCTACAGGAGCAGCTCGCCCAGAGCCCCATGGCCAGCCTGGGGAGGCAGCTTCCACCCCTAGGGCTGCTGCCACTACACAGCACTGTGGGGAAAACTACTGGTCTTATTTGCCACTGCATTTGCTTAAGAGCAATTCTGCAGCCTGACAAGTTGTGTTGTGGCATGAAATATCTTGCCAGGGTGTGTTGCTTCACTGTGACGAAGGTTCCTTTCCATGCTGAGGAAAACAAAGCCACCTATGCCTCTGATTGCTGAGCCTGCCTCATCCCAGAACGGGCCATGCTCCCACCAAGGGCTGGATGCGCTGTCTGCTGGCAGGGGATTCACCGCCAGCGTGGAAAGTGCTCTGCTGGCTTTTAGTTCCATTCCTAATTGCAGTTTACCTGCTGCATGTTATCGCTCTTCTATTTCTCACACAAAATAATTCCTAACTGGGTGAAGTCACTTTAATCAGATTACAGGAAGCAGGAAGGGCTGGGGGAACAAGGAGAGGAGGGAAGACAAGGAGACAGCACGGATGAGCGGAAACCTACAGGCAGAGATGGAAATCAGACTGACGGGCAGAAAATACAGCAACTTGAACCCTGCCCGCAAAAAGAGCCCTGGGGGTGTGTGCATGACACGAGGTGTGATGCAATGAACCCTGCAGGGAAGGCTCTGACACTCAGCCTGTCTCCTGAGATAGAGGTAAACTCTGGGTGAAGACACTGGGCACCTACAACGCCAACCCCCCCCAGCTCCTACCTGGTAGATACCTGTCGTGGTCGTACTCGTGTGAGCGCTGCATGTGGCTGTTCTGAGTGAAAGGCTGGTTCCCAAAGAGGTTGTCACTGCGAAGATTGTGGCAGAGCTTCTCCAGGAAGCGGAGGACGTAGGTGATACTGTTTACTGCTGGCAGGTTCAGAGTGTGCTGTTCCCGATCAAACACAGCTGGAGACAGAAACAAACAGAGCCCAACACGTAAACCCCCAGCAAAGGCAGGAGGCTACGCCCAGGGCTGCACAGCCAGCTTCTGTATCTCAGCATCGCTGGTCTAGACTAGAGCAAACAAAAGCCACTGCCTTCCCCTGGCTCAGCGCTGGGACAGGCTAAAACCAGTCTGCTGCACCCAGCAGCAGGGATGGGGCTGCAGCGCTGGGAAGCTGCGTTCCGGGGCACAGGAAGGCTTTCAAAGAGGGGCCTGCATGCCCCATGTCTGGGCAAACACTGGATGACAACCCGGGGTATTGCCTGTCTCCACGTCAGTGCTGACATTCCCACCCGATCTGCCTCCTCCCGGAGCTTGGGCAGTGCTGGGGGATGGAAGGGGAAGTGTAATGCTGCCTTCTCCAGCAGCTGTGCCCAGAGGCCACACTAACTGCTCTGGGTGAGCCACGAGCTGCTGCTTCCCTGGCACAGATGTTTGGCAAGAAAGAGAAGACAGAAATCTTCTGTCTGCCCCTGGCCCACGACTGCACCAGGCTTCAGGAGAGGCATCTTCCAACGAGTGAATTCTTGCAATGACATCTCCGAAGGCAAAGTGCTCCAAGGCCAGTTCTCACCTGAGATGACCTCTCCCCCGTGGCCTTGTTTTAAGAAGGAGAAGACTGTTTTCTGATGGTAAGCACAATCAATGCAGGCCTGTACTGCTTGCTGCAGGACAACAGAAGCTCGAGCAGGTCCAAAATGGTCCGGCAGCTGCTGAACTTTCTTCTTGTCTAGGTGGGGCCCAGTGCTGCCGTTCTTGTTCAAGTAAATGCAAACTGCCAAGATGAGAAACGTGTTTGCCATTAACCCACTCAAGAAAGCAAGAAACAGATGCCTAAAATCCAGCCTGAGAGATGCTGAGATCTTAAGACCGTCAAACCACTCGCAAAGGGGAATCCACCGCAACTGCCTGTCTGCATCCTAACAGCAGAGGGGAATCCAAAGTCTTCCAGCCTCTCACTCATCTTCCACACTGTCCCTGTCCCTCCTGCACTCTTCCCTGCAGCCAGGCTCCCACAGACAGGCTGCAAAGTGGTTCCTGAGCCAGCCAGGGAAGGTGGCTGTGATGACAAAGGAGATGAAGGGGTGCAGCCCCTGCTCTTTCAAGTCCTCTGAAAACTGGCCAGTCACTCTGTGGAACCAGAGGGCTCAGCCATATCCAGTGCTTGACCAACCATACAAAAAGCATCTTTGCACTAGACTTTCCTGCCCAGATTCATCTTTAGTGCATCTCAGAGCTGTAGCAGAGCATATGCTTTGCACTGCCACTCCTGCTCCTCCTGTCCCTGTTCGCCTGGACATCCTGCAGCTGAACAGATCATGGCCACTGTTGCTCAGCAATCGTTCTGCTTCTTGCTGTAGGGTCAGCAGCCGTGCCTGGCACGGTCTGAGAGCGCTCACACCCCAGGCACACAAGAGATGCTGCACACCAAAGTGCCTCGGGCCCGGTGGGCTATGAGAAGAGCCCTTTGAGAGCTGTAAAGTCACCATGAGCATGCAGGGAAAGGGGTCCCTGCACTGGATAGATGGCCTTGCAATCTTCATTATTTCCAAAACAGAGAGAGAAATAAACTGCTGGGCTCTCTTTTCCTCCTGACACACTCTCTCTCAGGCCAGCCCTTCAGGAATTGCAATGGTTGCTAGCTACAAGTTTAGGAAGGAACAGGAGTACCTCAGTGTGTCACTCTCTGACCAATGCAGCTCCTAACGTGTGGAGAATGTGGTTCAAGACCCTTACCTGTGGGAGCCTGCATGGCAGAGCTGGGGACTGTAGCAGCGTCCTGGGGCACAGTGCTTGTGTCTGGTTCTGGGGTACTGGTGGTTGGAGAGGTGGGTGCTGGGTTCAGCAATGTCCTAGGTTTCCTCTGCAGAAAAAGAGGAGATATTTCTCCTTTTATCCCTGCTCTCCTTTACCACCCATGATCACTACACTCTCTCCTCTGCATCCAACAGACAAGGCACTGTGGAACATGACACACTTCTGATGGTGATGACGGGGAGTCTCAAGAGCCTAGTAATCAGTATGTGTGCATTTTACACACCACAATCCTGACAAAATAACAAGCCTGAGATCTGCCACCTCTGCTTGACTCAGACTAGCTACAGACTAGCTACACACGATGGACTGAAGAGCTTATTCCACCGTTTGGCCATCCTGTCATGATCACAGCATCTGCCATGCTCCTTCACAGCCAGTGCAGCTCCAAAGACAGAGTTTCTTGATGGAAATGATCTTTAGGACACAGACATTCTCTACAGCTCTGGGGCTGGACTCTGAGGGATACTCCCAGCCCACATACCCCTCTGGTCTCCTACTTGCTGCAGTCATACAGCCAGAGGCTGAGACAAACGTGCACAAACACACGCATGCACCATCCCATGGCAGAACTTGCAGCACCTGCTTTTCACCCGCCTGCATCAGCATCAGCTTTTACCTTACTGCCAGGCTTGGGGCCTCTCTTTCTGGGGAATTTCAAAGGCTCCACTGACTTGGAGGGTGTAGGCATGGGGTGATGGATTAGCGCTTTGGTCGTTCGACCACGCTTCTTCCCTGTTTTGCGACGCCTTTGCCCTTGTTGCTGCCCCAAACCAGTCTTTGTGCTACTGTGCATGCTAGGTTTCTCCGAGTTTACTTCGGAGGCAGGTAAAGGGCTCTTTGGAATCACAACTGAAATAAAAAGAGAAAAAGCAAATAGAATTAAATCAGGCGAGAATGAAAACAAGAGCAGCCTCCATCTTTACATAGCGTCACATGGGAAACCTGGAGCATTCGCAGCCCCCTGGACGGAGGCTCCGGCTCTCCACGCCAGGATAAAAACCAAATGCACTGATCCTGCTTCAGCACTCGAGCTGTGGGACACGGCTGGGCTGAGCTCCAGAAGGATCATGCTTTCAGCCATACCTTCCTTCCTGAACATAACTGGCACCTACACCTCTTCCTGCTGCGAGTGGTGACCTGCCAGCGATCACGTAGAACGCACGGAAAGCATTCCTAGGGAAAGGATCAGTCAAGACCTGCCTGGTAGTCCCAGAGCCAGTGCTGTGCTGGAAATCCCTTCTCCCAAGGCAGAAATCACATTTGCTCTGTCCCTAAATCATCAGTGAATGCAGTGGAAGGTACCAGCTCCATCCCTGAGGCCCTCAAGGACTAGAGTCCTGGCCCTGAGTATCAGCTCATCTCAGCTGGATCTGCTGTCCTGCTCCTCTCCCACACGGCCAGAGGTAAGGAAGTGCCAGCACAGGGTCTGTTCCTTCTTATCTTCTCATGCTTGCCATGACAAAACCAGGTTTCTGGTCCACAAATCCTCTGAATTTGGTCATTCATCTCTCCCAAGTCCTGCTAAAGGCTGGAGGTGAGCTGGCGCAGCTCAGTGGACCAGTATTCCCTTTAAACTCCTGCTAAAAGGAAACAAACCCAAACCCTCCCAGGTTTTGAAACATGCACAGTGAGCATCAGGATGTCTTGTTTCTCCAAGCTGGAAACCTCACTGTGTATTCAACATGGGGGCTCTGAATGCCATAAACCCCCTCTTTTAAAGCAAGGGTCTTTATAATTAAGGAGAAAATCCTGGCCAAGGAAGCAAAGTGCAGTGAAAGGTTGATACCCGGATGGCATCAGGTTGATACACAGCCCTGATGGCAGCACTACTGTGGGTATACAAGGAGATTGTGAAGGTTTTCCTCAGGAGGGTTTGTGAGCAGTGACTGGGAGCAGGGATTCACTCCCTTGGCACAAAGAGCAAATGGGGCTGGGTCCAGCTTTCCAGGGGCCTGGAGAAGATCAGTGGGCTGTGAGGTGACAGCAGTGAGACACTGCAGGGATGGGGCAGCAAACTGAGGGCTCTGTTAACTGCTTCACTGCCAACCAAAGTGCAGCCCAGGTGGACAGCATGGCTGCTATGGGGAGGTGTGTACAAGGTGTGTATAAGATCCCATCAGTAGCAGCTCATTTTGGCCTTAAGTGAACTGGAGGTGGAGGATCCTGCTTTGCTGTACAGGTTTGACTCCAGCTTTGACCCTGTGCTCTCCACAGGGAGACTGGGCATGAACCTGGCTGCCAGGTCTGAGAAAACATGAGCAAATGGTTCATTTGGGCACCTGAAAAACAGGCCTGGTGTTACCTGACAAGCTTCACATGGGCTGACACGCTGGCCAGGCACTCCTCCAGGCCTCAGGAGCCACCAGGACCCCCAGCCTTCATGTCTTGGGATGTGCCAAGGGGTAGGAGGGCACAGAGCTGAGCCCAGGCTGCCAGCTCATGGTCACAGCAAGGCCACTGGGCTGGGGCATGTTTAGGACACAGAGGTCACCTGGTGCTGCAGAGAAGGGCCAGGAACTCCAAGCAGTACTCTTCCTCCTCCTCCTCCTCCTTGTGTGGCTGCCACCAGCAAACCTCGTGTGTGCCCCCACCAGCTGTATGGGATGGAGAACTCTGCTGTCCCTGCCCCGTCATACTGAGCTCCTGGGTGCAGCTATGAGTTACCTGCATTAACAGTGAAGTGCAGAATGTCCTGCAGTTGTCCTCAGGTGGCTTAGACCCATCCTAACCTCACTTTGCACCACTGCAAACAACAGGGTGCATGGTGCATCCAGGAACTGGCCCTGTTCTGCTTGTCGGGGAGGGGCAGGGTGAGACTTCTGGTGCCTTCAGTTTCTTGGTTTAATTTTATTTCCAAATGCATTAGAGTTCTCTATGAGATCACAGAATGGTCAGCACTGGAAGGGACCTTAAAGCTCATCCAGTTCCAACCCCTGCCGTGGGCAGG